TACCCCAATTATTTTTCCATTAAATTAATCATTTATTTTTATTATATTAAAATTAATCATTTATTTTTATTATATTAAAAGTAATCATTTATTTTTATTATATTAAAATTAATCATTTATTTTTATTATATTAAAATTAATCATTTATTTTTATTGTATTAAAATTAATCATTTATTATATTAAAATTAATTATATTTATTTTTATTATATTAAAATTAATCATTTATTTTTATTATATTTAAATTCTTCATTTTCCATTTATTATAATATTCACATTTCTCAGGTTTCCATCCAAGCTCAACAAAAACTTTCCCGTACAACCTACCCTCAAGGATGTCCACAATCCTTTGAGTCAGTCTTAATATCCTCAGGAGGGTTCCTCAAAGTTATACCATTCATACTAGCTATCCTCAGTAGGTAAAACTTGTATCTGACTATGTTGCGCCCCCTTTGCGGTCTAAGTCTTTGTATACATCTTACGATGCTTCTAAACTGCTCCCTTATGGTGTCCCTATCCCTAGAAGCAACATGTTCGAATAGGTGTCTCTCGAACCAACGGACTCTATTATGACAAGACTTCTTTTTCAGATAGTCGTCCTTGTTGTAGTTGTAACTAACGTAGTATGAGAAGTTATTCATATCACTGGCACCACACTGTGTGCATGTATCTGCTCCATCTATCATTACAATAGACTTACTTCCACATTCGCTACATATTGGATCATATGTGTGTTTTCTCTTTATTCTACTCTCTGCTTGCTTTCTCACAGCAGCCTCTAACTCTTCCACTGTATTTACCCTTTTACCTACATGTGCTATCTCCTCAGGTGTTGCCATCTGTAACCATTCCATTTCCCTATACTTCTAGGTGTGAAAATGTTTATGGCATTTTCTATAGCATTAAATAAGCTGCCCCTCCAACCACCCCACCTTCAACTAAACCAAATAGTGCCATATATTCTTCCATTTCAGAGCTAGGTTTGTAGTGATTACTTAATTGTGGCTTCCTTGGCATAGCCTTAATACGTGTTAACTCATTGATTCTTCTGACTAGTTCTAGTGACTGGTTCGTTGACTTGATATCACGATTTGCTTCAGCTAGTTTTTCCCTTAGTTGAGCTATTCTATTTCTTCTATCAGTGACTTCTTCAAGGTACTTCTCTCTTTCAGCTGTTAGATTCTCCATTGCAAGATTATGTCTCTTGATTTCCTCAGCATATCCATTCTTGTCAAGCATCTTAAATAAATATCCAGCTCCCTCAAATGCAAATGCATTGAAAAGTCCTCCTGCTACTGCTCCCGCCATTGTATAGTTTTACCTAGGTTTTGAATGGATCATCTGGTAGATACTTCCTTTCTTTCAGGTAGGAGACTAGTAGAGATGAAAGACTAACTGAAACAGCTAATTTTACCATTCCCTTTACATTCTCTGGGGTGCTTAAGGGTTCTTTCAATAGTTTCTTTGATGCCATTGATATACCAACTGCTCCCGCCGTAAGTAACACTGCGTTGTACACCTCATTACTCATCTTTGATTCTTTACTCATCTTGCTATAATATATGGTATGTTTAGTGTATCATTCAAGTGTGTCTAGTTTGGATTCATCAGCTCTCTAGTTACTTCTACAGTTTTAGGGATGTACTCAGGTTCTGGTTCCTTTGTTTCCCTCTGATGGGTCTTATACGCTAGTACGAGATATCAATGCAATGGCCACTCCTATGTAGGTAATTATACTGTCATTACTAGATGACTCCTTAGGTTCAGCCACCTCCTTCCTCTTCCTCTTCCTTGCAGCTTTACTCAGAATCGCTAGCCTTTTTCCAGCCTCTACTCTCTTGGGGTCCTTCTTCTTTTCACTTGTAACAGGAACTTTCTTTGTATCAGGTTCATCAGCCATTCTATATAGGTACCTCATGTTTAACTACATAGATGTCTACATAGATGTCTACATAGATGTCTACATAGATGTCTACATAGATGTCTACATAGATGGGATTGCTTAAAAAATGCTCGACAGTATTCGCCAAGCATTTTCTAAGTTTCATTCCTTCGCTTCCCGTTTCCACTCTAGTACTTACCTGCTGTGTAACCAATTTGTCGAATTACAACTTCCTTACACTGACTGGCCTTCAGAGTCTTACACTTTATCTTAAGATCCTTTATTTCCTTTAGGAGTTTCTTTGTTTTATCGACCCTGAAGTACTCCTCTATATCCAGCACTATCTCTGTGTAATCATTAGATATTAATGTCTGGTAGCCATTTTTGTTTAGTGCCTCTAACCATGCTACCTGATTATCCCTAACTTCTCCTGTACCCTTTGGAGTCTTGAGGGGGACTATTATAGTTTCGCGGTTATGCGGATTTAGCCATATTTTGAGGTCGGATTTCGATTATATCCAGTTATTTTGTACGGTTTGCGGTTAACTGGAAATCGTGCGGAGACGGAAAATGTCGAAATTAACCTTCCGGATTCGGTTATTGACCAAAATAAATAGCGGTTTTCGGATAGTTTTTAACATGCGGTTAAGAAATATTTTACGAGCTCATGGCAATAATCATTCATCTTCCGATCGCGAGTGCGTGTTGTTCCACAGGGCCTCGAAATGACGAAATCAAATGGGCAAAGTGGCGGGGCTATTAGTAAAGTCAGGAACACCGGAACACGGAACACCAGAACAGCATCATTCCGGAATACGGAACCGACCAGAACACCAAAAATTCCGCTTAATTTGTTAAAAATTCGAGGGGAAAAATTACTGGGGGTTGTGAAATTATTGCAGGATTGCTGCTAATTACAAACTGAAATCAGTCTCAAAGTAATAAATATTTGCCCGAAAAGATAAAATCAAACCTAAGCAACTTGATTGTTTCTCACACAAAACATAAGCAGCGATGGAAAGAAAACCTTTTTATAGCTATTTGAACTGCTAAGACTTCGTTTGCTTTGCCAATTGCCATATTTTATACTACCAAGTTCGCGTGAAACTTGTGAACGGCTCCCTCTTCAATACCCCAATAGAAATGGCGCCTATACGCACGTACTGACTATTGGTCTATTGTCTCACATTATGTTGCGAAATATGTTGCGAAATATGTTGCGAAATATGTTACCACATATGCCTCGGTTTAAACGCGGTTACGTTTAAAGGAGAAATGAGTGCGCGGTTTGCGGTTAAAATTTGAAAAACAACGCGGTTTTCGGAGATGGGTACCCCCTATAATAGGCCCCCTCTTGAGCTCTATTGCGAATCCATGGAAACCGTTACTTGGAGTTATTATCATAAGGTCTGGTTGTCCACCCATATATCCCTTCCTCCAAGCGTCACATCTTTTGTGTGAGGTATCCTGGTACTCTCCTAATCCTTGTAATATTAAGGCTTCCGGGTGGTACTTTTTAAGATATTCTACAACAGCATAATGAAGGTCCGTTTCATTAATTAGCTTCATCTGATTACAATAAAGCGGCTCAGATTCTGGTAATTCGTATGAGCCTGTTTTGCGGATAGATGGAAGCACATCCGTGACCACCCAGTCCTGGAAGGCCTCTGCTATTGGAAGTCTTGATTTGAATATTAGTTGGTACAAACCTGATTCTCTTAGGAAAACAGAATTTGGTTGACCATCCAGGGTGGTACCCCTCATGTGTCCCACCCCAAGTTCTCCAAGTGTTGTCTTGTTTGACTTCCATACATGGGTTTGAATGGCTTTTTTCTTATTTGAGTACCCTAGAGATTCTGCCACATCCTTTGCATAGAACAGTACCTCCTCACCACTCCTAACGGTTCTCACACTAGCATTCAACTTTTGGTTCCTAAATATTTTCTCCATCTTTCCTATACTATATGTGTAAACATTTTTTAGGCTATTTTATTCATCAATTTATTTTTACCCATACAGGGAGCAGCATTCCCTCAGCCCACCCAGCTGCTTCCTACCGTTGTATACTTCCTATTGCCAAAACTTATTTTGCCTACTGCATTTCATTTAGGTTCTTGTATATTTTTACAACTGTTTTTACTGTATCATTTTTAAACGTTTCAAAGTCATACTTTAGTGAATCCAGAGTTGCCTGAATCTTATCCAGCTGTTCCCTGTTTTTATCAGTTTTCTCAATCAATTCATTAATTATATCTTCAAATTCTGTTCCTTCCCAGGGATTTCCCCAGTCGTAGGGCCCTCCAAGTCGTGGCATTCTGTATGTAATAGAAGATGTTTAGTTTCCTCGGACACTTCCTCAGGTTCCTCCTTTTTATTCCACTTATGGGCGACTACATGCTTAGCGGTTGTACAGCCACCGGATATGAGCCCTATGAATGGGATGTTGGGGGATATCGTTCTGGTTAGATATGCTACATCGTCCTTCAGAAGCTTGTCACTAAGTAGTTCCTCTGTCAGCTTTTCTGAAGATTCCACTGCACCGAAACTTCCCAGGACTGACGCAAACTTTGAAATAATAAGCGTTGATAAGAAGTCGCTTGCACATGACATCCTCTGACTTTCATACTCATGGTACAGTCTATCTGCAACATCTTTTTTAGACTTTCTTATAAAACTTGCGGGCTTCTCTATTATACCGTCCCTCGATAGCTCTATAGGTTTGTCCCTTTTGTGTTCAGTTTGCGACTTATCTGCGGTAGACTTAGCTTTTCTTGCGATAGACTTAGCTCTTTTCTGCGACACCTTTGCGGCCTCCTCTACTTCTCTTACAGCCTCAAATACTTCTTCCTCAGATTCAGTTCCCATTATCTATATTTTACGCGCGGTGTTTAGTTTAACAGAGTATGTGTAAGGGTGAATAAGTAGTACGTCCAGTGCGGTGAACTTTTCATCTCTTAATATCTTCGTAATCTCTGTAATTGTCTCCTGAGGAACGCCACTTAGGTAATCATCTGTTATAACCTTCATATCTTTGCGACTAGGGTTGTAGAATGTAACTAGCCTGGAAATGTTCTCTCTAAAGGGCTTCGCTGCTGATGACAATTGTTGGGTAAGTACAATGACAGATAGGTTGTAATGTCTTGCAGAGAAAGCTAGGCGCACCAGTTCTGAGACTCTTTTCTTTACATCTTGACTTGTCGCACAATCGTCCACTATAATGAGAGTCTGAGTACCGCGAAATATGGTGGACACCGCCTTGAGAACATGATTAATCATCTCTTGTGAACATGGAATTTGTATAACTCCGTGGTCACTAAGGTGGCTCCAATTAATGTAAGTCATATTCCACTCTATTGTTGGACATACAATGACAATGTAATCGAAAACTCTATTGTACTCTGTTTCTAACATATTAAGTAGGAACTGAGTTTTACCACTTTCAGTCATTCCTACTATGAGCATGTTGAATGGGGGTTTATGTTGTTGCATCTCTATGCTTCACCATTAGTATTGAATACTTGATAGATCTCTATTGGCCAAGTTAAGGAGAGCATCTGATACAACAAAAATGTTGCATATGACGTCAGCTGCTGTGGCTCTCTTTTTGATTTCCAGGAGTACTCCCGATTGTGTGTTAACTATCTTCTTACCTCCACCAGTGATATCATCTTGTGTTGACCTAAGATCGATTACTAGAGCGAAACCGTTGCTGTAGAACTTACTGATGGACATAAACTCGTCTGCCATTGATTTCTCGCACATGGGGCAGAAGAATCTTTTTGCCTCTTCGAAGAACCTATTTTTGGGAAGTCCTTGGGAGAAGGCTGCATTCGGCACACCTTCAATGGTCAGGTTCACTTTATCAATGTTTGGGTAAATATACTCTTCACTATCAGTTCTCACTCTATTGGTAAATAAAAGGACAATAGCTGACATGCTCTTCCTGGGAATATTAATGTTCTCATTTACAATGGTAAGATCCTTGTCCCAGTTACTTGTACGCATAAGAGTGGCGTGTTTGTAGGACAGTGAGCGACCCATTGAATACATCCTTGATACTTCACTCGCAAGGGCGTCATTCTCAATGGTCTCGTATTCTAACTCAAGATTATCAAGTTTATAATTACCCTTAGCTTCACCTCCTTGGGCAGTCATAATTTCATCTGCTTGGAGGAGAGTAAGGATGTACATGGGATTGTTATTCATGGAGAACGGTGTGTAGAGTCCATGGTCTCCAATTATCTTGTCAATTGGTTTCCTCAGCTTAGAACCGTACACACTGTGGAGAAGTCCATCTGCTACTTTACCGACATCACCTACCTTTACACCTTAGTCGTCGCCTGATATCAGCTTCCTGAGATTCGCACTTGCAAGGCCCTGTTCAGTCATCTTCTTTCTGTCACCTAGTCAAGGGTGGGTTGACTACAAAATTTTTGTAGTTCGTTATAACTACAGCTACTTCAAAAATATGTAGTCAGCTACAACTACTGCTACTGCTACTTTTGAACAAAGGTAGTTCGCTACTGACTACAGCTACTGCTTAAAAAATGTAGCGAACTATTTCGCTATTTCGCTAATCTATATTTTTTAGTTTTACTGTATTTGGAGCATGTACTATTAACTCAGGCTGTAACGTAACCTATAACAAATCGACTTACGAGTAGCAACAGACAACAGTAAACACAAAGCAACATTTTTGGAAGCACTACAGTGTTAAGGAGTGCAAAATGACCACTGAGTATTGATTTTAAGCAGACCGTGTCTCAATATCATGCTATTCTATCAAGTTGCTAACAATTTTAAAAAGTAGCGAATAGCGATTCGCCGTTTGAAAAGTAGCCAACTACTTGGCTACTTTTAGGCAAAATGTAGTTCGCTATAACTACAGCTACTGTTTTAAAAAAGTAGTCAAAAACTACTGGCTACTTGAAAATTGTAGTTCGCTACAGTAGCGAACTACAACTACTTCGCTACTACCCACCCTTGCACCTAGTGTTAGCCATAGATCTTTGTATATTTCGTACAAACTCTCTCCTGAACAGTCATAAGCTGTTTCACTGGCTACTTTAATCTGAAGACGCTTAGCTATCAACTTAGACAGGTTGTTATTAAAGTGGCTCTTTGTATTGGAATTTTTGAAGTCAAATAATAGTGCAAACGATCCCGGGACTAAACAAGAGTCAGGCTTTAGTTTGGGGATGTTAATATACAGCTCTTCACCTGGTCCAATAGTTGTTGGATTAAAAGTTACAACACTTCTAGTTCTGGGACCTTTTACAGTCGTCATACGGCTCCTTCTGAAGCCAGGCTGGAGTTGTCTTTCTGTGTTATTCATACTTGTATACAATATGTAATGTTTAGCTGTTCATGTAAAGTAAAATTATTCCGATACCTACAGCTACCACCCATAAGTTTGATGATATGAATTTAATCAGTTTGCTTACTATATCAGGAAGTGGAAATGGTGACGGTGAAGGACCTCCGCCTCCGTGCGTGGAATCTGCTGTCATTGAGGATAGTTTTCTAGTCTGTATGATAATAGCTGAAAGAAGAGCAGCAACTGATACCATAACACCTGCAAGCACAAATCCGAAGTTATCTTCAACCCATGATTTGAATCTTTCATGTCTCGTAAGATCTTCTCTAATATCCTTCAACATGATTTCCGTACTATCACCACTGAATATAGGTTGATCATCTTCTGGGATACTATCCTCTGCGACCTGAAATAGGAGGTTCTCAAAGTTGAAAGTATCCTCTACCCATTCAGTGTCTACCCCAGGTAAAGGCTCCCTAGTCTCCTTACCTCTGTTGGACTTCTTGGGTTCTTTACCTCTATAGGGCTTCTCTGTCTTGGGTTTATTAGGTTCTTCCTTAGGTTCTTCCTTAGGTTCTTTCTTAGGTTCTTCCTTAGGTTTATACTTTTCTTTTTCCCGTTCTTCGAGCTTTTTTCTCCAGTACTCTGTTTTTTCCTTATCACTCTCAACAGCTTCCCGGCGTCTCTTAGTCTCAGCTTCCTACCACTGACATTTGGCTTCTTCCATAAGTCTATAACGTTCTAGCTCTTCGGCCTTCATACGGTCTTCTTCCTCCTTCTTCCTAGCTGCTTCTTCTTCCTCTACTTCTAGCTCTTTTTCAGGCTCATCAGGATCGAAACCTAGGTTTCCTATAATACTCTTTACTTGTTTATTTTTTCCGAGTAGTCGTTCCTTCTAACTTCAGCCTTAGCTATTCTCTTGAGTACAACTAATATTTTTACCTCTTCCTTGAGAGTACGATGGGTTGCGTTAAGATATAACTTGGTTTCGGAATTCTTCCAGGTCTTCATTCTTCTTAGCTGACTAACGTACTCAATTTCTCTTTTAATATCCTCTTTCTCTTCCAATTGCTCGGGTCCCGTTATCTTCCTTCGGAGAATGTCTATTTCAGAGTCCATATCTTCAGGTTTCATTTCCCTATAGCCAGGGTATAATTTATTCAGCTCATCTAAGTCCTCAGCTCCTAGGTCTCCTTCCCAGATCTCGTAGTATTCACTATTGAATTCATCACGAACGTCACTTACCCTATCCATCCATGCTTCATTGGTTTCCACAGGTTTATCCATTATACTTTACTTGTTGTAATTGTTGTACACAAGTAGGGCAGCCGCTACAGCTAATACCCATAAGTGTGACGCTAACCAGGTAATTCCTTTAGCTCCCCACGATAGCACCGTTGCAACTGTGTTTAGGATTGGAGCTAGAATTGGTCCTGCTTTCTTCGCTAAATTTGCTAATGCTTTTGCTACTTTACCAGTGGCCTTTGCTGTCTTCACAATGGCTCCCCGGGCATGAATAAGAATAGTTGTTAGTAGACCTGCTGTTGATATTGCTATTCCAGTTAGACCCACCTTCTCCTCCCCTAACCATTTCACAAACTTACGTAATCTGGAAATATCTTCCAACTGCGCCTCTTTGGTTTCCTCTAATACTCTCTGTTCTAGGGTTCGATCTCTAGCTTCCTTTAGACTATCAATTCTTTCTATAAGAGCATTGTACTCAGTTGTACCCTCAGCTTCAGTGGCTTAATTGCTCTACAGTTCTACCAATAGCTTCATCAAAGTAATTCGCTTGTATTTGCAGTGTACCTGCTGGTCCTATTCTGCCTTCCATACTTGATCCCTCAGGTGGGTTAAGAACACCCCTCAGTTCATTGTTTTCTTCCATTGTTAGCCCTGGAAGGTCTCCTATTTTTGCACCTATGTCTATTAACCCAATGTTCTCACGGTCAGCGAATTCCTCACTACTTTCATCAAATTGTGGCTCTTCTTTAGTGTCCTCGTAAATTGATTCATCACTTCCAATTATATTGTCGGGATCCGTAGGTACCTCTTTTATTTTCTTTATAAGGTCCTTGTATTCTCTCAATGCAATGGAGTTCTTGGAGTACACTGGAATCTTGGTCTTACCACGTTTCATTATTTGTGTCCCACTTTTGTCAATACCTTGTTCACTTCTAAATACCAACACCTCTGTCCCATCATTGAGTGTTCTGACAGATGATCTCTTGATGAGTTCCCTGACATATTTATTCTTAGGGTCTAGTATTAGTCCCTCCTTACCCTTGATAACTCTTGTGACAGCCTGAACACGTTCTACTTAGTTTTCAAAGTCTCTTTTCTTACTTACTGTGAGTCGGTCTTCTGAGAACTTTTTTAGTTTACTCAGACGTTTCTCTATATTGAACCAATCAGTGTCAAATGAATCATCAAATGCATCTAGAACATCTGGAAGTAAATTGTTTGGATCCTCCACAAAATCTACCCCTGGAACCGTTGAACTTCGTGATGGTCCTGAAATGTTCACTGTACCATCGTTTCCTTCGGTGAAAGTTGTTTCTTCTATTGCACGTTTCTCCATGAGATTCTTCACATAGTCTAGTTCACTTTTAAGATAAGTTAATACTATAGGATCATCACCATACATAGCCTCTCCCTTCACCTTCGTATCTAACCTACTAAGAGCTGTTGTCAGGTCATCATAATTGAGGTCGTCATATTGAGGATCGGTCTTTTCCATCTCCTCCAACTCAATGCCATCGTAGTCCTTGAAGTCCTTCATAATACTTTAACCTATGTTAGGGACTTGATGTCTCCAGCTGGTATCCAACTGTTAAATTTGTCGTCATAACCTAACCACTTAATGAAAGCCATCTTTTTACCCTTCACTGTTCTTCTTCTTAATACTTTCTCTATTCTAAAATCAGGTTCTCGCCCTTCAGTACTATACAGTTCTTGTTCATAGAATCTACCAATTATTGGTTCATCAGCACTGTCTTTTAGTGTGTACGTGTTTGGATGGCCGTGATACACTTCCGTCACAGTGAACAACTCCTCTGTGAAATTTGCTTCGTACCCTTTTGTGAACACTGATTTGTACTTCGAGATCCTGACACTTTCTCCGACAGCAAACTTTGGTTCTGACGGCTTGCCTAAATTGTGACTAAAAAGTGTCTTCCATACTTCAGTCCAGTTGGAATCATTTACACTGTCTGGTGTTGTTTTAATTGATCTGTTCACTGAACTGTTGTAATTATCAGTTAAGTCTTGAAGGACGTCTAACCATTTATATGTACTAGCACTGTAAAAGTACTTCCACATTAATGCTTTCAGTGTTCTGTTAAACCTTTCCACAACTGCTGCCTTTTTGTCTGAGTAAGTAGAGAAATATTCAATGTTATGCTTATTAAGCAATGACTTTACTTCTTTGTTGTAGAACTCTGTGCCTTGATCAAACTGGGCGAATTTTGGGTATTTACCAAAACGATTACTAAATTGCTCTAAAATGTTACTGACGGCGTCCTTCATTGCCTTAGCGTTTTTCCTATACACTGGTACTGTGAACGCGTACCTACTTAGTATTTCAATGGATGTGAGAATCCAGCGGTATCCCTTGTTCTTGTCATCATATTTTGTCATGTCAACTAAATCCATTTGTAACTGTTCACCTAAAGTTTGGACGTACGTCTGTCTGAACTTATGTTTCCTGAACACTTGTCTATACCTAGTGTATGTGTCTTGTTCATTTATCCATTTCTTGACCTGGTTTCTGGTTACTTCAAGTCCGTCTGATATTGCTCTGGGATATAATTTCTCTGGTGTTTGAAATCCAGTCTTAGGATTGTAGTAAATATCTCGTAGTCCCTGTTCTTTCATAATATCATCGTCCATCTTATATTAACCAATGTAAGCTCGCTACTCAAGGTACATCTCGATAAGCACTTCACCTACATCAATAGGTTTCCCGTCTTGATCTGTCATGTGGAATACAAGTTCTGAGAACGAACCCCTAATAACTGAAATCCTGCTTTCAACATCAATGTAACTAACTACCGAGCCTAATAATGGTCTGTCTGTTGGAACAGTAACACTTGTTATTACATCGCTGGGTCTCCCCCAAGGGTTAACGTTGTAACTGCTACTAACTAGATTACAGTGTATATTTACACCTCGTAGACCATTATTAAAGTCAACTTTGCTATCACTTGTCAAACTCCTCCCTTTCAGTAGGATCATAGGATTAAAAAATCTATTAAAACCTAACATAGTCAGTAATCGTGTTTCTATTGTGATATCTTGTTTTACTGCCTCTATTTGACATCCTGCTGCTTCAGTAAAGTAGGTTAGCTTAACACCATGTCTTTCAAGTAACTTCTTCATACTGTCAAATGTGTAGTAACAGATTCTCTATCATCTGTTTTCACTTTGAGAATAGTTGTTGGTTCCCTTATGTTGAAGTACTCCCAGAATACTGATACTCTCTTCACAAAGACTGATTTATAGTTGCTTGTTAGAACTGAGTTCTGTAGTGATACAACTGTGTGCGAGCTCTGGAGTAAAATTGTGAACTTCATCTTAATAACATACGTTAGGTTATTAAGAATGAGACTAGGTGGAGGACAAGTTGGTAAGTCGCCGTATCGGTCGTACCAAGACTATGAAAAAAAGTATGGAAAGGAAGACGATGAAGATCATGTTGATCCTGTTGCTGGTAAAAATGCAGAGAATGCTGAGAGGGCTAGATTTATTAAAAAGTACCCTCACGCTGACATGAATAGGTTTAAATTTGAAGCAAAGGCTACTAGTAGTGGTGATATAGGAGTTATCACTTGGTTTGTTGATTTAGATGGTATATCTTCATATGATATTAGATATGACGGTTTTAAGAAGGATAAGGAGTTCATATCTTATCTCACAGGTACTAAGAAAATTATTACTCCAGTACAATTTATACCTATGACTGACATGGATCAGCCTCCACTAGAAGTAATAACTAAAGGTGAAGGTGCTAGGTGGCCTGCAATGTGGTCATCCGGAAGGGGAAGTGGATACGGAATTAATCCTGATGATACAATTGATGGTCATAGTTATTTTCCTAAAATAAGATGGCCTAAAGGCCGGATTCCACGAGGCGGAATTTTTCGACCGAAACGAAATTTCTCTTTGTCTTTTTACAATTAGTTCTGCTCGAGAGCTCTGAAACAAAGAGAAATTTCGATTCGGTCGAAAAATTCCGCCTCGTGGAAAACCGCCTTAAGGATGTTAACAATTTTAAGGTGTATGTTGATGCTACAAACTTTTTTACTACTACTGGTGGTGCAGGTGGATCCCTTCTTCCAAGTGTGGCAAGCTTTATTACCATTAAGAATGTTGATGTAAAATTCGACTATAAAAAGCCATACTTTGCTGCACTCTGTGGAGCTTACATTGCAACGCATCTTAGTGGGATTACCACCGATCATATGACTTTTACTGATGAAACATATCCTGTTATCACTAGTGTCATGAATTTTCATGTTTATTACACTATCAGGAAATTTGTGTATAACCCAGAAAGGATAAAACCTTATTTGAGTAAGTTGGGTCCAGTAAAGAGTCACATTCCTATTGTCGGCAAGTGGGAGAGCAAAACTGATACTTATAGGGTTACTTACGATAATGGACTTGAGTATGAAAAAGCAAGTTGGCTTAGAAAAAGAGGTAGTGATAGTAATCCGGTTAGAAATGTGGTTGCATCCCCTATAAATTCAGTCAATGGGTTCCTGGTGAAGATAAAAATTAGTTACGAAGAAAGGGTTTCGGTAAGTTTGGTAAGTAAGTCTGACTATAGAAGGTTTATTGCTGTTAATAATTTTGTTGTTCCTAAAAAGATTACAGAAACAGGGCTACTTCTGTTAAACGAGTCAGTGCAGGCGTTCTCATATTCCGTACTAGGGGCACAAGCATCGACAAGAACTCCAATTGTCGGTGAGTTGGGAAAATCATTTTCTACCCAGGTAAAGTTCGGTAATATTGTTCATGATTGTGTTGTACAAGCAGATCCCGTTGTAACTCTGTCTGATATGAGAAAGGCTATTGAAGACACCAATGTTATACTTAATACTGCCATTACACCTGGAATAGTTTTGGTTCCATCCAGTCTGATTATTCTAAAGGAACCTATTATTGGATATAATAATGTGCTTGTAAATGCTACCTTTGATATGAACAGTGGTGTTAACACAAAACTTAATTACGTTGGTGTTAAAAAAGCTGATCCTCCAAAGAAGCAACATCAGGATACAACACCTGTTACCAATCACCTTGATACTCTTAGTGGATACGTAAAACAACAGATTAAACCTAGAACTGCTACACCAAGAGCAAACAACTCCTTTCGTAAAACTATGGTTAACAGTAATAAGTCTTCGGAAGTTAGCGCTATTGCTGGGGTTGGAATTGGTGCTACAATTGTATTTATTATAATGAAAATGTTTTTGTAAACATTGTGCATGGTATAAAATGGCTCTCTACCGGGGACACAACAAAGGAGTAAATAAAGTTGACCCATCAAGTGGCAGTGTGTTTGATAAGGATGGATTTACCATGAAGGGTGACATTGAGATGGATGGTAATGAGGTAAAGGGTTTAGGTGCACCTACTGACGATACGTCTGCGGTCACAAAGAAGTGGGTGGATGATGAGATCGTTAAACAGGCTTCTGTTACAATTCAACCAGCAGGGTTTACTATGACTGGGAATATTAACATGGGAGGTAATAAGATAACCAATCTTGATAATCCTACCGATCCAGGTGATGCCCCTAGTAAGGGATGGGTTGAAGGCAGCCGCAGGCATATACACGCAAGTTTACCCGGTCTTAACCTAACAAATGACCTCAATATGTCAACTAATGAGATAAAGGCTTTGGGTAATCCTACAACCGGTAAGTCTGCTGTTAGCAAGGACTGGGTAGTCGGAATGCTAAATAGACCTGTCACTGGACTTAATATTGCTGGTGATATTGATATGAAGAACCATGAGATTAAAAATGTGGCTGACCCTACAGATGACAAATCTGCTGTTAACAAGGGATGGGTCACTAGTCATGTTAGTGGAAGTTCTCTTTCTAGCAGCGGATTCATTATGACTGGTGATATTGACATGAATGCTCACAGAATTAAGGGACTTCCAATTAGTCCGCAAGAGCTTGATGCTGTTAGTAGAAAAAGGGTTGAATCAACACTAAACTCATAATCATATTTGGAAAAGAGTGGTGGTACTATGGATGGTGATCTAGTCTTCAATAATGGAAATTCATTTTATATGAAAAACAGTCTCGGAGCAAAAATAGTTGTCCCCAACATTCAAACCGTTCTTAATCAAATAACACGCTTCTCCCTCCAATTGGACGGTTCCAGTACAATGACAGGTAGTCTTAAGATGGGTGGTAATGAAATTAAAAACATTGGTGCTCCTAGTACTGGTACATCTGCTGTCTCCAAAAAGTGGGTACACGATAATGTAGGTTGGGGAAGCAGAAAACGTAGGTCCCTAGGTGGTGACTTGGATATGTCCGGAAATGAAATAATAAAGTTAGGTGATCCCACTACTGACAAGTCTGCTGTTTCCAAGAAATGGGTCATTGATCATGTTAGTGGAAGTTCAATCAATAGTAGCGGCTTCACGATGAGAGGTAATATTGACATGGGAGGGCATAGTATAACGAGTCTTGCAGGAGGCTCTGTAGGAGACACAGCTGCACTTTCAAGTAAGACGTTGTACACTTGGGGGCTACAGTTTCTGAAGCGTAACGGTGGTACGTTAGCAAGTAACCTAGACGTGAATAATTTTGAGTTAACCAAGGTAGCTGACCCAACAACTGACGGTTCTGCTGTTAATAAGAAATGGGCAACTAACTGATGAGTTCATGAGTAGTAGAGGTGGTTTGGTAAAGGGTGATCTGGATATGGGAGATTCAAGTGGTATTCTTGATCTAAGGGATCCTGTGAATGCTAAGGATGCTGTGAACAAGCGGTGGGTGGAAAATAACTTCCTGAAAACTTCCTCAGGTCTTGTTCAAGCAACAGCTGATAAAAGATATGTAAGGAAAATTCATCACATTTATGCACAGTGGATCTGGGGATATCGCGGAGTATCAGTTGCAGCAACAAGGTACTATGCTTACTGTCAAGATCAGATTCCACCTTCATGGAGAACAGATACTATTAATAATATGACAGACCTCAACCTTGAGTCAATTACTATTAAATCAGATTTCCCACTTCTTTCAACTGTTACTAACATACCCCTAGGACTCATCCTGTGGGCTACTGTATGGGAAAAGCAGTCTAATGGAAAATTTACACAAGTCAAAAAGGAAATCGTCCTCAGCACAATCGACTTAAGAAGGCTATCACACACTTACTTCAACGGAACTTACACAAGTAATGGTGGAAGTACAGCTTGCTATGTCTTCAAGGGTAATAGTATGTTCTATTTAGGAAACCAGGCTGAGTTGGTAGATAACACGCTAGCCTGGTGTATTATAGTTAAACCGGAACACTCAATGCCAACTGGTACGAGTATGGACTTGTCTTTTTGCTGGTCATTGCTGTATTCAGGGTCAGGTGGATAACATATGTTGTATCATAAGGCATCATGTCAAAGTGGCGTTCATGCTTCTCATGTATGGGTAATATCTGTGGCTGTCGTAAAAGGTCTAATAAAAATGGGAAGGTTGGTGATATAAATTTCTCTGTATCCAATGATATTAAGGTTGAAGTGACCACACAGGGTGAAAAGGATGATGCCAACAGTGCATCCGGACTACAAAGGCACACCCCCTTATGTACCCCCAAGGAGAAAATAAAAGTTGTCGAAAAGGCTCTAGAATAGGAAAATTGGACGATATTGGGGAATCTAGAGGTTTGAGGGTTTGGGAATCCCTGATATTTTGATAGAAGAGAACGGTGAATAGTTGGAATCTGAGTGTGACAACTAAAATGGGTATTGTGGAGGTTGTAGGAAGTATTAATCAGTGCTCAGAATTAATATCTGACGGTTCTGTGGAGAGGGTGTGTGTTACCTCAAGGGTATTTTAAAAGTTGTCGAAGAGGCTCTAGAATAGGAAAATTGGACGATATTGGAAAGGTCTAGAATCACACCTAATATAATCGTACTAAAGTCTCAGCTGGACTGATAAGGTGATCCCGAAGCTCTGAGATAAGTTAAATGAAAAACATTTCGGACATACCTCAGAATAGCAGTTTCACATTCAAAAATAAATGGACCGTAGAACTGCTGAAGTCGGGAACACTCATTGAGGAGCGGGACCATTAATTTTAATATAATAAAAATAAATGATTAATTTTAATATAATAAAAATAAATGATTAATTTTAATATAATAAAAATAAATTATTAATTTTTTCCGAAGGTAAAAATTAGTGGTCTCGCTCCGAAACTAGTGGTGTCGCTTCGGCAGTTCTTATACTACTCAACAGGCTCTCAAGCTGAATTGAGAGCCTGCATCGATGACTAATGAACTTGAATATCTGCCGCGTAACGTTTGTTTTTCCAAATATGGAATGTCTATCTTATATGGTGTTGTTGACAACTTTCGTGCAAACTAAATTTAGACCGTGGAAACTAAACTTAGGGGCTGTTTATATGGAAGCGAGCCAGCCTGGGTACCCGTGCTGGCTCGCATCCCCGAGATGAATTTCACCACGCGTTTACATGAAACTTAGATGAAGGGCTGGCTCTTCTTGTTCTAATTTTTTTTGGCTTAAACAACTCCATATATGGACGTTGGTTCCTTATATGGGAGTTGTTTGTGCATTCTGAATTATTCTAATTATTTGCACATGCGTATTTGCTAAATTTCTAGCCCTACTAGGAGGGCTAGCCCTCCCTGTTGCGTTTATATGGAAAAATACCCAGCCCGTTTACCCGAGGTCTCGGGCCACACGAAGCGGGACCTCGGTTAGGCGGGCCAGCTCGGTTCTCATATAAACGCAACATGAAATTTAGTAGGAAATATTAACAAAGACGGGATCCCGCCTAAAGCGAGCTAGCTCGGCTACCCGAGCTGGCTCGCCTCATATAAACAGCCCCTTAGACCGTACATTTTATACTGTTTTTCGAAATATGAGATATTCAAGCAAAAGTTCAAATGTTTTAAATACTGTTTTCTCAAAACAGAACATTTCGTGCTTTGGGATAAGATGGCCAAGACCAATTTGATCAGTTAATGTGTTTTTATGCATAGTGCTTCAGCAGTTGACATATATAGAGCTCAGTGGAAAGAAGAAATTATAGCATCTGACCAATGAGAATTTCGCGTCACGATTTGAGACGCAGATATTCAAATTCATTAGTCATCGATGCAGGCTCTCAATTCAGCTTGAGAGCCTGTTCGCAGGCTATAACTGCAGTTAAAAAGTAGTTAAAAAGTAGTTAAAGTTAACTATATATGCTTTGGGGATGCTAACTATCCAAAACGTAGTTAAAAATGGCGCATGTTTAGGAGTGAACAACGTTTTTCAGTAAAACAACAATGAAAAGCAATTACGCTTCCCTGTGTATATATGTTATCAGACAATATAAATTCTTCAAACGCTATTGCTTTGGTGTTTTTACGAAAACAGAATATATTTTTTGCACAGGACGATTTCTCGAAGACGAAGTAGAGTCCATTAGTACATTACACCAAGAAACACTAATATATAATTGCCAAACAGCTACACGTTGGTTTAATGTAGACATCTCACGGAAAAGCTGCCTTTTTTATGATTTTTGTGGCGCTTTTCCCTTGTTTTCTTGTTTATTTTTCACTGATTTGAATAAAATTCCCGCCTATAAGCCTATTTGCAAAATACGAGTCCACAATCATGTCAAAAATGCGTGTCAGCGGCCGTTAATCACAGCCTACTTTATGTAATTTTGTGTTTAAACGCTCCACGCACAGTTAACTATACGTGATTAGTTAACTATCCGACTAACTACGTTTTGATCTAACTAAATTGACCGTTAAATTTCCGACGCTTGTGCATTAAAAATCATAATCTTTCTCTCAGGCAGTCATGAGCTTCATAGTTACCAGTCCACTTTCGGATTGTATTAAAAATCATGATATAACATATTATATAGAACTTGATTTTATGATCAGAGACCATGCAAAAGATTTTCGAATTCTTGTGAAACAATATTCAGTAATTCCTTCTGCAAGATAAGACTTCTTTTTAGGTTTAAAGTTTAAACACGGCTTTTATTAGTATTACTATATCACATCACATCACATCACATCATAGTACTATTACAAAACGCCAGAAGCAGTAGTTTAGGTGTAATAAATGTATAAAAAATACACAAGTTTCTATCTACAAATCTCTTCAACTATTACTATATATTACAGCATAAAAATTATTAAACGTTTTCAAGCGAAGACCCGTGGTTAGGGAATTTAGCGAAGGAAGTTAGTGAACTATATACAACGGGCACGGCTCGAAGTAGAGAAAAATATGGCCTGCCAATCTAAAATTTTTTGGCAGGTGGAATAAATTTTAGCCTGCCATTTTTATTTCTTGAACTGCCAAAATAACGATTTCTCATAGGAGTCATATTGTAAAAATCAATGTTTTATGATATGCACTTTTTATAATTTTTAGATTTGTTCTATTTTACTACAGTTAACTTGGATTTACAATTCAAATATAAATATATTAAGTCAACAAAATGAGCGGTTATGGTAAGCATATGAAATGAAATATATCTATAGAATTTCACCTGCTATTTTTTTTTTATTTGGGAGTTCAAATTTGTTTTTGCCTGCCATTTCTAAAGTGTGGCTTTGGTCATTGGTAGCCCGCTATTCCGATCCCTGCCCTTGGCAAGTCAGTGAACTTTACGACGAAGGCCTTGGGAAGTTAGTCAACTTTACAACGAAGATCCTTGGGAAGTTAGTAAACTTTAGGACGAAGGGTCTTGGGAAGTTAGTGAACTTTAGGACGAAGGGCCTTGGGAAGTTCGTGAACTTTAGGACGATCGAAGGGCCTTGGGATTTAGTGAACTTTACAACGAAGGGCCTTGAAAAGTTAGTGAACTTTAGGACGAAGAATCTTGGGAAGTTAGTGAACTTTAGGACGAAGGGCCTTGGGAAGTTAGTGTACTTTAGGACGAAGGCCTTAGGAAGTTAGTGAACTTCACGACGAAGGGCCTTCGCTCGAAATATCGAAATTTTACTTGTATATTTTTCAGGTAGTTGCATTCCTCTCAATCCGAAGAAAAATTAGCATGAACAATTTTCCAATTCTAATCAGCTCTTCTATCGTCTACAAATATCAGTCATCTACATGATGCACGCTATAACAGAATTACTTTAATTAAAATATAAACCGCGTGAATAGTTTTTTACTTGATTAAAGCCTTGATGGACGAGTTTCTCAGCAAACTCTTTAATTAAACGACCTAAATATAAACAAGAAAAATTAAAATCGTTAATTAATTTTAAAATCATGTAACTAAGGAGGTATTATAGCTGTTGAACATTATATAGTGCCAGACTGTCATAAATTAGAGAAGTTTAGCAAAGACCACGCGACGTCAAAGAGGACGTGAAAATGGCGTAAAAATGACGTGGGCTCATCCATAAATGGGCATTTTTACGCCATTTTTACGCCATTTTCACGTCGTCTTTGCTAAACCTCTCTAGTCTGTTAACGTCCTTAACGTTGTGCGCACAAGATGACGTCGTTAAAAACGCCGAAAGCCATTATCGGTGGAAATCGCGAAATTTTTATTTTTTTTCGAGATATTCTCACCATATTTCCGGCATTTTTTTTATTTGTACATGTAGAGATTCATGCATAGAATGTTTTTCGGGATAGACTCCTTGAAGTGTCGTTTTATAACATATGGACAACTACTGAGATAATAGCTAATAAGATAAACTACTGAGAACTACTGAGATAATAACTAATGATACATGTGCAATAGCTCATATGATAACTACAATCACTGATTAGCTCTCTACATTGATCAGTGGACATGCATAGCTCGTTTATTCATACTAATTGGTGGAACATTTAACAATTATTCGCCGAAGGCGAGGTGATTATCGCGGAATATTCAATGAGACGAAGTTGAAGCGGCTCAAGGGAGGTAAATCATTCAACTCAACCTTTAGTCAAATTCAGTTTTGGATAACTGATTTCAAATTCAGCCCAAGTTGTGGGTGAGTGCTGTGATTGAATAATTGGAGGATGAGTGTCGTCTTTATACTCAGTGAGCATGAGTGAAGACACATTGAATGTCGAGTTGCACTTATTGAGACTCATTGAGTGTCAGTGTGAAGGAGCTTTCAGAATGCAGGCGGTAGTCAATATGCATGCATATTGATAACATTATAGCAAGGGGGTGTGGGGACACTCCCCTCCACTGCTTTGGGTGGCGATAGATATGAAATTATTCCCTAACGTTTTGCAATATTTTGTTTTTTCTATAATTTATGACACATGGTAAATAGTTGTTCAGCATTAAATGCGATCAGATTGACATCAATGCGATTAAAATTCTTATTTGGTTTAAGAAACTCGATCTTCTCAATGAGTCTATCAACCTTTGAAAGCGCCCTATCCCATATCAGCTCTCTTTCAATTGAACACTAAAGACTGGTTTAATTTTTGGGCAGTGGATCAGTTAAATTGAGGTATGTATTTTTCTATACTGGTGTATTTGCTGTACCTGCGCAAGCATGTTGTTATTCTGGACTCTCAGCTTCTTCTGATGTTTTACATTCAAATTCTTGATCTTGCCTTCCAAGATTTTCTTGCGTTTCATCAAACTGCCGTCTTCTTCAAGTGACTGTCTTGGACAAGCAGATACTGGCTTGCACACTGGTTCTCCAATAATGTACAGTACAAGTTCTGTTAACTGTGATGGCAGCGAGAAAGATTTCTTGTTTCTTAGGAAAGAGGGAATATCGAGATCGGATAAGAAATCCATGTATACTGGGATGAACTTTGTTGTTGAGTAATTGGCAAGGAGTTCTGATCGAATTAGGTTCTTTTGGTAAATAAAGTTTCTTTCTGAAAAAATAAGGCACATCCTTAGGATACAATCACCAGCAGGAACTAGGTAGCTTTGGCCTTTTGAGCAGGAGAACAAAACATTCTCATTTTACCGTAAAAAATGGTGTGATCTGGACAAAATTGGTCTGACTCGCAAAATTTAGGCATTGCTTATCATATATTTTAAGTATAGCCGACACTGAACATTTTCGACCGCCCCCATTTTTTCCCTCCCGTATGCCTTTGGTCTTCTATGCTGTCGACCGCCGTCCTTACCTTTTATGTTATCTTCGAATTCGTGATTTTCGTTGACAGTAAACAAGACGATGACTTTTTGGCATTTTTCAATTTGATTTTCATAATATTGAGTCTGGCTCGGTGACCATTCCTTTGGTAATGAACGTAAATTAGGGATACATTTGCAAAGACCTGTCGTGTCAAGATAGGTAGCTACAGAGAGCACAGCATCTTCACAATCTTTGCAATGACTGCCATGAGCGATGAAAACTTCCGTCACTGAAATGAAGGTAGACGATAAATTAAGCACAACGTGAAAGGGAATAAACTTAAACCCAGGTTGCATAGCTACGTTGTCGTTTTGCTCGCACACTGGGAATGTAATGGGCCAAATTTTTGATTATGATCTATTGTAATTGTAACTAGATGCCTTCGGCAATAGATGCCCGAAACAAGTACGTCAATTTAGATTTCGGGAACGATTGTTAAAAATATCAAATTACAACTGATTATATTTACTCAGGGACGCCGCAACTGGGGGGGCAGGAGGGGCAGCCGCCCCCCGTTGCCGTTCACCAGGAGGGGCAAGGGGGCAAAGGTGCCCTTTCAATATAAAGAATTGCCTTGGCGAAATAGAGAATTGTCAGAAATGTTAGTGCAATTCTTTTACGAATTTGCTTCAGGAAACGCAAGGATGCAGTCATCCGAGCTTCAAGAATAGCACAATCGCCTGGCGGAGAACCCCGTCACACCCCTATCATCCAATAACTAGAAAACATGATTGGGCGAAATTCAACTCCCGATGTTTTGCAAACATATCTTAGTAAGATATCAATTCAAAAGTGCCCTTTCACGAAAATCTGCCCCCCTTGCCTTCACATCGTTCCGGCGTCCCTGTATTTAGTTATAGCCAGGCAATAAAAATCGACGCCTTACTTGACAATAGGACTGGCTAGTCAAGAAATATTTCTCGGGCTAATCGAGTCAACTAGTGAAAGATGTCCAAATTTAAACATGACTAGTCCGGATACATGTTTTTGTGCGCTAACAAAATAAGTACAAATTCATACACTTATATAAACGCACTTTATCGAATCCTTCGGCAGTCTATATTGGCAATTGAACATAAATTTTCTTCAAACTTTGACACTTGTACAAATGCCCGACGGGCACCAAAATAGTTAAGGCCGAAACACACCGGACGCGACTCGACAAAGCGGCACAATTTTCAGTGCTTGAAAGTTAATATAAAACAGCCAATAAATCGGGAAATTTTAAAAAAATATTTGAAAAACTTAAACAAGAATCAAAGTTATCGGTCAATGAAAATCTAAAAATCGCGCCGCGTTGTCGAATCGCGTCTGGTGTGTCTTGGCCTTTTAATAATACCTGGTCTTCCCTTTGGAATTATATTAGGTTCTTCAGCTTTCTCGACCGCTGTTAATTACAATTGAAAGTAAGAAGTTATTTAAGAAGTTACTTCATTGCGAAATTCACATCAAGGAGAAAGCAAAAAGTAGTGTAACAGTAACAGTAACAGTAACAGTAATTTTAATCAAAAGAAAAAATATACAAGAATTTAACAGTTGTCTGCAGGTAGCGAAAGCTATTCGAGGCAGACAACTGGAAGACTATACTACGAATTATAGAGATGACATATAAGTTTCAAAATATAAAAATGACATATAAGTTTAACACATAAAATGATATACGCCAAGTATAGAGCAAATACAAATAGTCTAAGCACCACTGATTAATAACATTTCTGTTACAATACATAAAATGTATGTCTAAAAGTACAAGATTGTAGCGTCAGGGAATTCGCCACAAATTTCCCCAATTTTGGAAGTCCCCATTATGCAATTAACTTGATGTCAACGAGACATCAGCTAAACCGAATGCTTGGAATGTACATGTGTCTATTTCTCCTGCAGCATTATGTACGCTTATATTCTAAAATAATTTCGTCCAGTGATGATTATAACAAAGCCAATGTCACGAAGAAGTGTGTGATAAAACATTGATCAATAAATTCTTAATTTCTTACCACGCTTCTTTTTCCAAATAATTATAACCACAATTGAGAAAATTGTTAAGGCGAGAACAACTATCACAACAAGTACAGCTATCAGCCAGTTAGATTGCTTGATCGAATTGTGTAATGCTGAATTTAAAAAATACGATAATAAATATTATTCAAAATAACTACAAAAATAGATTCAAATTCTCAATATTATATGACTGTCCACTGCAACATCATTGCAAAGTATATAATCGCAGGCGTAAGATAAATTGATAGAATATACGTCCCAATCCATTTACAATGAACTTTATAATAAACCAGTAATTATTTTAATTACTGTAATAATCAGTTTATTTTTTAGCACTAGATATTCTAAATTAATCGTTTTATCAATTACATTCAAGAGTGGAAGATTTCAGTTCATTCTCTTACGCCCGCCTGCTGTATGATGATGGTTGTTTTGGATTCTTAGAAACAAAATTTTCGTTCTTGTCATGAAGTATTTGGCACCAGTTGTGTCTTACTCTATAAGGGCAAAATTGGTATCTACCCTTGTTACTCACCTGGTACATTTTAATATACTGTTATGTCATTTTCATGATTTTTAACTTCATTAATTTTGAACAACGCTTTTTGGATTCAAGAAACTCACCTGATGTCCGGACGATTGTCATTCGAAAAGAGTATATCTCGGAGGATTTTCCTAGCTTAGAATGGGGATAACAGACTCCACATTTACCACACCCGTAGTTATTAAAAATAGGTGTGACCTATATAAAATATACGTGCGAATTAATTATTATATTGGATACTAATTTCCACGGTCTGATAATTTCCAACAGCATAATAGTTCATGCATTCAAGAAAGATTTTAAATGTTTGCTATATATTTTTTTGTTTTAAGACATTTTAAACCAAATAATTATAAATCAAAGCTCTTCTCCAATTCAACTTTAATAAAAGTTTACATGAACAACATTCGCATATGTGTCCGCGATAGCAATGACATGCAGCCTTCTAGACTGCGCATTCCCTGCACTATTCCATATCCAATATACAGCCTACTATATTGCCCCTTGCTTCCCATATTTGATTATTTATTAAATGAACCAAATCACTAAAAAGACCACCTCAAAATTAGTAGGTATACAAAGTTTGAAGACGTTTACATGAACACCCTTAGCTTCCAATAATAAGCTTTCGAAAATTGTGAAATTACTGATTAAAATATTGTTTTTGGGTGCGTGTCCCCCAAAACAAAAATTACAGTACATTTCATAGTAAATATCGCGATTTTCGAAAGCTTATTATTCGAAGGGTATTCGTGGAACTGTCTTCAAACTTTGTTTACTTACTAATTTTGAGGTGGTCGTTTTAGTGATTTAGTTCATTTCTTAATTTGGACACATTTTAACACTCGTCGCCAGTCCTCTCATTAACTTCGGAATGGCTAATTGTGCATGTTACCTGACTTAATTTGTGCAGTCTCTGAGCATGCCCTCTAATTAATTAAATTAAATAATTGAATTCAACTAAGCTTCGACTAGCTGTTACCGCTATTTCGAAGGTATTTATGTCTACGATTTACCTGAAAAGCATAATTCTGGCATCGTAGTCGAAGTCCATGAACCACTATGCGTGATTGATTTTGAGCATCCTATATTCGTGAATGAGCAAATATTAAGGCATAATGAGATTTTGTTGAATTGAGATGAAAACCAAGCCATCAGTCAAGCAATTGCAACTAAACCGAGTTCACCTTATTATTAAAGTAACTATATATGTGCAATTCCAACTTAGTTCACTATTAATGTTGAACATTTTGTAAAATGTCAAATAAGACTAATAAAAAGAAGGTATACCATCTAGTGTACAAATCGTTAATTATTGGGAATTAATTTAGATAATCAGAGAGCATTATGTACTAACCTCAAGACTTGTTTCTAACTGTTCTTCATGACATGATGTTTTCAGGTTT